AATGTGGTACCTGATGTCCTATGACTTATTGAGCATTTCAGGTGGCTGAGAAGCCCAAATGCCACCTTCAGATGTCCTTTTGGTGCCTGGTAGCCCAATTGTCTCCTTCCCAGCAGTGCCTTTCCCCTGCACCCGCAGGCTGTCCCTCTTCTCCCTCAGAAGTCCATGTCAAGACCTACCTCTAATATCTCTATCTATATTCAATATATATTGATATATTATATATATTTTTAGAATAGTTTGCTGGAATTTGGTCTGGCTCACTTGGGTTTCCCATGGTCTTGTTGACACTGCTTGAAACGACAGGCAGAATTTTCCTGGAAAAATGAGTAAGTAGATAATTTCCAGCCCCTCTTGTGTGGAGCTGCAGACAGAACTGACATGATGGTCTTTTTATATTTTTTTTCTTCTTCTTTTTTCACCCCCAATGTGCTGAACGGTCGAAGTTCTCATTAATTTAAATTCCAGTTTGGGTCCCTGAACTGTGAGCCAGCCCACACAGTCGGAGGCTTTATAAACATCCTGTCTGGGGGGATTGCCGTGGTGATGCTGCGATGTCCGTGGGGCAAGTGGGGACCACTGGTAGCATCTGTTTGGGGCTCTCTGTGCTGCTCCCCTGCTTTTTGCAGGGGATCTTTTCTTCCTGGAGAAGAGGAGGCTGAGGGGAGACATTATCACCCCCCTACAGCTCCTGAAAGGAGTGGGTAGCGGAGGTGGGGGATCGGTCTCTTCTCCCAAGTAACAAGCAATGGGATGAGAGGAAATGGCCTCAAGTTGCGCCAGGGGAGGGTTAGATTGGAGATCAGGAAAAAATTCTTTACCGAAAGAATGGCCAAGCATTGGAATGGGCTCCCCAGGGAAGTGGGGGAGTCCCCATCCCTGGAGGTGTTCAAAGACTGTGTGGATGTGGCACTCTGGGACATGGTTTAGTGGGCATGGTGGTGTTGGGTTGGTGGTTGGACTTGATGATCTTAGAGTTCTTGGATGCAGTTGGTGGTTTAAGGGCTGAGCTGGAAGGTGTTGCACCTACCCAGCACTGGTGGGTTTGGGTCAGGGCGCCAGCCATCAGATGCTTTGCCCTGCAGTGGTTTTGAGTGGCCTGGTGTCCCCATTAAGAGAAATACTTCATGTGCTGAAAATCACCAGGGTTACATTTGTAAGATACAGTAGAGCTGCAGGAAAAAAAAAATCACTCAATTCAGTCCAGAACCAGTCCTGGTAGAAAGCAATATAAGAAGCAGCAGGTGCAGGATGTCCTCAGTCCCTCCTGGGCATTTGGCTGTTCCCATCTCATGGCATCCTCCACTCTGCGCTGGGTTTGGCCCTGGGTAATTCCCAAAAAAGGGGTTATTGCCTCTTTTTTTCTGATGGCAAGGGTGGCCCGAAGGAGCGATGCGCATGGAAAGAGGAGACAACAAGTTCAGCCCAGTTTTATGAGTCATGGGCGAGTGCATGGCTCCCTTTGGGAAACTGGATTTTGGGGTTTATGCTAAATAAGGCATTTGTACGCAGTGAGGTGAGGAGGATGGCAGTGGAGCCCCTCCTTCAATCTTGATAAATATGATCCTGTTGCTTCTGGTTGTGGCACGGGGCTGGAAATTGCTGTAAGGCTTGAAAAGGTGAGCAAGAAGGAGGGCGACAGAAGTAAACCCCAGGAGCTTACAGCACCTGTCTGTGCCCTTAGCCGAGCCCCAGACTGGCAGCGACAACAGGGCCGTGCCGTGCTCCCGAAACTCTCCTCGCTTTCTCCTAATTGAACCTGTTTATAATTTAAGGGATATAACCCCACCGTTTTCTGCTTGGAAAGTTCCTTTGTCAGGGGAAGGGGGGGGGAGCGGGGGGGTGTCGTTTGCTTGTTGGGTTTTTTGTTTTTACTGTTTTGTTTGCTCTGAACACTTTGGAACCAGTGACGCAGCATGCGAGACGGGAGGATGTTTGTTTTGGGGAGCGACGCTGCACCACAGCAGTGGTCAGGGGGATGGAGCGGGGTTGGGGGCACCGCCACCGTTTTGGCAGGGGTGCAGGAGCCTCCCCACACGCCTGCTTTTCCCTTTGCTGCAGCACAGGTGATTCACGAGTGAAACTCCCCTGGGGCCAAATTTCTGATCTTTCCCAGGATTATGAAGGGAGGCGAGGAAGGAGGTGTTGTAAGAGCGGGGCAAGCGATGGCCCGTGCAGGCTCCCTGCCCACGACCCGTGCTGCTCATCCTGTCCCCGGGAGATGCATTCGGAGAGGGGAAAATAATTAAATAATGAAAAATTTAAATAATAAAATAAAATAACTATTTTAAAAAATTTAAAGTTTAAAACCAATCTGCAAGTGTTTGCTTTGGCCCTGTGACAGTGGCATGTCCCTGAGTCACCGTGCACCTCCGGAGATGGGACTTGGGCTGTGGAGGTGGGATGGGGCTGGGACCAGAGCTGAGCCCCTGCTGCAGGCCGGGAGGGGGAACTCAATCCTTTAGTGGGTGCCCCAGGGTGGGTTTGCAGCATTTTGGGTGCAAAGTGTCCTGGGAAGCGGGGTAGGATGCTTTACACACATCCTACTCACCCCGCTCCCCACCACTGGTCCTAACTGCTATAAGAATGGTTTACCCCAGTTTTCCTAAAGATTACTTTCCCTTTGATTAGACAAACAACTTCAAGCCGTACATCTTAATTTGATTTGAATAAGCCTAACACTTACTGTGAAGTTTTTTTCCCTCCCTTTTATTCCTCCCTCTTCTAAATCTGCTGTCGTTGCTCTTCATGACCATAAATAACTAAAAGCTTCACAGGAATATTGTCATCCCCTCAGTCCCTTAAAGTCCTGTTGTATTATGTGGGTCATATTTTTATTATGATGTCTTTTCTTGTTGAGTGATTCTCCCTTTTCCTTATTAAACGATCAGCTAGGTAAAAGGGATTATTTTTGTCTCTGCAAAGCAGGAAGTGGGTAGAGAGGGGCTGCAGGACCCTTCCCCACTTTCTGTTGCCGTTATCCCAGGGTTTCCCTTTGGTTCCCCCCCTGGGGTCATATCCAGCTTTTTTGCAGCTGAGGGAGGAGCATCTCTTCCCCGTAAGCACTGCTTCCCACAGGAGGCCATGGCTGAGTACGTTGGGGCAGCTTGGGCTCCCCAAGGGACCACGACCAGCCCCACCAAGGGGCTGTTGGAAGACGATGTTGGAAGACGCTCATCTGTCTGTCCATCCATCCATGCATACACAAGCTGCAGAGCTGGAGCGAGCCAGACCATTTTCTGGTGTTGCCATAACCCTTGGTGATGGTAAAAGCTGGAGGTGCCTGGCAGAGCCCTGTCCCCAGTGTGGGGACATCTGAGGGGCTGTGCCCCAGCTGCAGGACCTGTTTCCTGCTTTATTTTCCAAGCTGATTCGTGGTTTTGGGGTTTTTCATCCCAAGTTTGTCCTAGAGGAGAAGACTCAGCCATCAGCTTTGTTAGGCCTCTTAAGAGCAGGCCTGGAAGTCCTGACAAGAGCAATTCAAGAAATTCAGTCTTTATTGTTTAATTGGGAGTTGTCTCCCCCCCTCGTTAGCTTGTTGCATGCCCAAATAACAATGAGGCTTTGCTACAACCCCTGCCCTGTGCATGCTCGGGCACCTGCAGCGATGCTGGCGCAGGCGCGACTTGTTATTTTGGATCAAAACCCACCATTTCCCCAATTGCGTGGGCTGGCACGGCCCCACTTTGCAAGAAAAGGTCTTCTGCTTGGGCATGGATGTGAACTGGCACTGGAAGGTAAATTTGGGTTTTTGCTGTTGACTTTTAACCTGCATTTTCAGCAGGGCCGAGCGGCTGCGGTTATTGGCTGACCTGCAAATCGAGTTATGTGCGGGCAGCTTCATTCATATTCCCCAGCTCCTGCCCGTCTCGTCTCGTTAGAAATTCTCCGGCCTCTTTTATCCGCTTGCAGCTTCGAGCACATGATTTACGATCTGGTTCGAGTGGCTCCCAAGCATTGCCGGCAAATTTGCCACCCTTTCTTGGCAGGATTAAAGCCAGGCAGTGTGACACTGCCCTGTGGATGGAGAGGCGATAGCTGGGAGGAACTGTGCTGAGTGCTGGGGGGTGATGCTGTATTTAGTGTGGGTGTGGGTGGCCTAGCGTGGGAGTGGGGTGATTTATGCAGGGCGAACCCCTGCTTCAGTTTCCCCTGCCTCAGTTTCCCCTGCAGTATTTGCATTGCCTTGGGTCATGGTGAGACGTGCATCTTGGGAAGCAGAGACCTGGTGCAGCTGCTGCATGTGTGACCAGGCCCTGACATTTTTTCCCTTTTCTCCCCCCATTTTGTAGTGAGGGATGGAGCTCCCAGGGCTCAGATGTGGGGTTCCCATGTGCTGCCACTCAGTCCTGCTCCCCCTTCCACAGTCCCCCAGGAGTGCAGGGTGGGGTGATTTGTTGATGGAGCCCCTTGTCGTGCACTGGCTCCCTTCCTCAGGGTGAAGGAAGAGCACTCTGTGGTGTTGGCCCATTTCAGGGACACCTTTTGGTGCCAGGCTCATTCCTTGCACAGAGTACAGGGCAGAGGTGTGGGAACACCCACCATGGTGTCCTCAGGGGGATGTGTGTCCCCAGAGCTCAGGCACACTCTACATCTGCTTTGGCATCGCATCGTCCAGCCCGGCTCCTCTGGGGTGTCCCACCACGCAGTCCATCCGGTGTGCCGCACATGGTGGTAGCATCTCCCTGGGACTGAGTCCTGAGGGCAGAGGTGACCTGGGTGCTGCTGGGACACGCAGCATCTGCCCTGGTGTTTGGTTGTGTCTCAGCAGCGTCTGCAATTATCTGCCTTTAGCAGAGGAGACGTGGGGAATGTGTGGCTGAGGCTGGCCCCAGCCTCTCCCCGTGTCTCCATTTCCCCTATGTATCCATGCTGGCATTGTGCCGTAGCCCACAGCGTAGTGCTGGGCCGTGCTGGTGATGCTCAGCGCTGGCTCTCCGGCAGTAACAGCGATTCATATCTTTTTCTTTTTCTTTTTTTTTTCCTGTTTTCAGGTGACTATGGCCCTGGCAGGGAAGCCTTTAGACGTGACTCTCAGCACCTCCAGAGCCGACCAGTGGAATATGGTTTTTCCCCAGAAAGACGAAATCATCACCAGCTTAATGTCTGCCTTAGACTCCATGGTAAGAGGCCAACGGCACATCCCCATCCCCCTCCATTGTGTGTCCTCCCTTCACTGGGGCTGACTAGGCATGAGGCTGAAGCAGGAGGGCTGGCGAGCTCATCCCACTGCCCTCCACTGCCGAAAAGCCCAGGTTGCTGCCAGAGCTGGGAAATAAAAATCCTCTCCTGCCCTGGCAGCCGTAAGGTCCATAACGTCAGCCTCTGTTAATCTCAGATGTGTATTGTTTTCCCATTAATATTTATGTTGGTATCAACTGAATGTAGGGTGGTTGAGGGTTTTTTTCCTTGATGTTTTACCACTGTTACTGTGAGCTTTTACACAACAGGAGAACAATGGCTTTTATCTCCAAGAACAAAGAAAATAACTTTCATATCTTTTGATGTAGAATTCCTGGTGGAAACCTTGCCTGAATCAGCCGTGCTTACATAAACAAGATAACTGTCTGGATTAAGTCTTGTGGACCAGAGCTAATCTTATTTTTAACTGGGAATGTGATCAAGAAGGGAAAGCGGGTGTGTAGTAACAAATGCCTAATGCAGTGCGGCATGCTAAATAGCCCTCCTTTTTTGAAAGTCGAGTCATACTTAATGTATTTATCATGGATATGTCTTCTCTACACAGGTGGGGTTTTTTTCACTAATACTAATTTCCTTCTCTTTGACCATCACCACCCTGCTAAGGAGCAGGTTCCCTGAAGCTGATGCACCCTGAGCAGCTTTGATGATTTATATACGTGCCATCCCAGACAGCAAATCACGTTATCGTAGTTTGGCTTCTTAATGAATATACATTATTCTGCAGTCCTCGTTAGGTGCTTACAGCAGGGGCAGGGGGCCAGGCTGCTCCTGAAATTCAGCTTTTATCCCTGTGCTGGGCTCTGCACCCACTGCAGCCTGGCTGCCTGCATATGGGGTAATAAACCACGAGGTCGTGTGTGTATTGCCAGGCGGGCTTAGGGTTTGGATTTGCACTGCCTCCAAATTCCACATCCCTTAGATTTTGTAATTCTTTTTTGAGCGTTGGGCTTTTTGAGCAAAACGCTGCCATTTGCTGCTGGGCTTTTGAAAGGAGTTTTCTTAAAAAAATTACCTATTTTGGGGGACGTGGTTCAATACCTCCTTCTTGAAGAAGGTGAGCAGGAGGTAGAAATGACCCAGTATAGTGTCTGCTTTAAGCCCATGCAAATCAAGCTCACTGTAAATGCATGCAAGGAGCTGAAGGGGTTTGGTCCATGGGCTGTCCTGCTCCCTTCCTGGCCACCAGCATCCTCCAGTCTCTCCAGAGGGGTGCAGATGTGCAGCTGGGGCTGATGATGGGAAAAACCCCTCATTTTACCCATTTAAATCATGACCTGGGTATAGCGTCTCCCTAGCGTCCCTGCTGTAGCTATGGGAATATGACTCAGGCTGCCAGCACTGCCTAACTATTATAATATTAAAAAAATAATAATAAAAAGGCATATACATGTGTATTCTGTACAACAGGAAGCACACGTTGCATAAAATGGATTAATGAAGGAAGCCTTTTCCATCTCTTTAATGTTTTGCATAACTGTACAAGAAGAATCACTCGACTAATCCAGACTTTGACCATATTAGTGCTCTGCAGCTGAAATAATATTCCCGTGCTCCTTATTTCATTAGAGCTGGTGGAAAAATACAAATTGTTCTTGGTGGGGTTTGGTTTTGTGTTTTTTTTTTTTTTACAAATGTTTTCTTTTGAAGAAATCTTACATAATGTTTACATTTAGGATAGGAAAAAGTGAAGATAAATGATGGGTAAATAGTTCTTGTTTTCCAGCAAAGCATAGCTCAGCCGGATACCTTTCTGGATCTGTAAAGTCACCAAAGTGTTTAGGAGACGTCATAAAACCCATGAAATTCTGACCCAAACCAGAACATTGCTTTTGATGGGAAGAAAAAAAATCCCACTGGAAAATGGGCAGGGGTGCCAAGCGGGGCTGCCCCCACAGCCGCTCTGACCCGGTGCCTCCCCGCAGTGCTCAGCACTCTCCAAGCTGAACGCAGAGGTGGCCTGCATCGCCATCCACGAGGAGAGCACCTTCATGGTGGGCACCGAGAAGGGACGGGTCTTCCTCAGCGCCCGCAAGGAGCTGCAAGCCGACTTCCAGAAGTTTTGCCGTGAGTATCCCTGCCGTCGCTGTCTCCCCCTGAGCTGAGCTGGTTTGTGCCAGCTGGGATTTGGAGGGCACCCAAAGTGGCGTGGCGTGAGTGGCGTGGAGTGGCGTTTGAGGTCTTAGCCAAAGTAGTTTGTCCTAGTGATCCCGCAGGAGTAGAGATACTTTCTTGGGCCAAGGCCTTTTCCTGGTTTTGGAAAGACAGGGATGGATTTGAGAGCTGGGAGTGTTGGTTGTGGAGCTGCCTGTTTTTTTGAGAGGCTAACGGTGAGTGGAGAAAGGATGACTTGAGCAAGAATTGTGGTCCCCCCTGGTCTCCAATTTGTGTCACCAGATATTGCAGGGAGATGTGTGACTGGCAGCAGTGTTCTGGTCCAGGACACTCTGCTAGGTCTTCAAAACCAGCCTGGGAGCTGAGAGGAAAGTGGGGGGCATGCTGTGCGTGAGGACCTGCATCTCTTGGACAGCATCATCCCTGGGGCGCCAACTACTGCTTTCCACACTCCACTGAGCTGGGATGGGATCAGGCTGGGGACCCCAGAGCTGGGTGGACCCAGACCCGGGAGGACCCCAGAACTGGATCTGCTCACATCTTGCTGCCCATGGTGGGATGTCAGTGGGGAAAAACGCCCTGGCTGTGTGTGTACATGTGTGGTGTTGATGGAAACCATATTCGTGCTTAATTCTTTGGAGACATTGCTCAGGAAGGGTTGGCTCTAGTGAAAACATGAGCACTGTTGAGCTGCCAGGGTCTCTGTCTGCTCAAGTTATTCTCCACACATGTGGGGTGAGCTGGGATGGCTTTACCAGAGCAGCTCCTGGCCAAGGCTCCCCTCTGCCCCTCCGTCCTGCCCACTGTGGGCAGCTGCCCACCACCTTCACCACACCACTCACACCCGGGAGAGCCTCTGTTAGTTATCCTCCACTTTGGTGTGTTGCATTTTGCAGGACAGGAGGCATTTCAGGGACACTTCCCGCGTCCATGGGTGACTCTGCCTCCCCGTCCCCCAATGAGAGGCAGGGAGGTACCTGAGCGGTGAATGGCAGCAGGGTGCCCAATGGGAAGGAGCCCCCTCATATATTAAATGTCAGCTGTGTCTCCCTAGATCTCACAATATTGATGACCATCTGAAAATCTCACTTTTAGAAATACATACGTACATCCTGGCCAGTGACCTGCCGCCGTGCTGGGGCAAGATGCCCAACAGTAGATCCTGCTCCCCCTTTCCTTTGGTTTCATTTACACCTTTGTCAAAATGAAATGGTCTCGTCTGATTGAAAGCACAAAATCTTGACAATGGGGTTTGGGCGAAGTGGCTGATGCTGGAGACAGGGTGAAACGTGATGACTCTCTCTTGAATTACAAATGGCCCAGGCTCAACTCTGCTCCGTAAAGCTCTTACAACTGGCACGCAGTGGAAAGCATCCCTGGAAGTGCCTCTGATTTATGATCTAGCTGCCCCCTAAGAAAGGATCAGATATAATCTAAAGCAGACATCACTGGGAGATGTAAGAAGCTTCTTATCTCTCTGGACGTGCAGACCTCACTTGGACGCCCTCCTTTATGTGAACCTCAGGCTCAGCCTTTCCTGGTGTACGGGGGAACTTGACAGTGATTGGGATTAATGTCAGCAGAGGAGTGGTAGCACCCAGCCAGGAGTCAGAGTTGGCCATAGGGGGGTGTGGATGCACATGCATTTCACCACCTTGATAAAACACCCCACAAAACTTCTTCAGGGCCCATTTCCCTGTGCCGTGGGAGGCACAAGGAGCTTGCCAGGGGTTGTGCAGTGCTGAGTGGCTGTCCCCTTTTATATGTCTAGTTCTGTGGGTACCCCAGGTGGCTCTTGCCCCCCCTCCCAGTGATGCTGTTCCCACGGGAGGGATCCACGAGCTCCTTCTTGAGTGCCCAGGCAGCATCCAGGGCTGATTGCCGGCAGGAGCCTGTCGAGGATGATGAAGGAATTAGTCCTCTGCCGCTTAAAATCCCTTGTGAATCGCTTTGGATAGCACAGCAATAATGCATTTGTAGTGTTTAATTTTTTGTGTGTTTAGAGATGCAAGGAAGTCATTGCCAAAGATATGCTTTATTTGAGGTTTAATGGGGGAAATTAGCAGGAAATAGAAGGTATTACTGAGCTACGTGATGCTGAAGGGTAAAAGAGCCTCCAAGAAAGGCGAATTTTCTTTTCCTGAGAGACTGAAGGCTAAGCAGATTGAAACCAGAGAAAAGAAATGTGCTGCCCAGTTAATCACAACAGTTTTGGTGGAGCTGAGTGAGTGAAACCAGGGAAAGGCGGGACATGCCCAGGATGACCGACCCCGCTCCCAACTGCGCTGCTGGCACCACTGCCCATGGCGCCACCTCCCCCTGCATGTTGGGGGCTGCAGGGGCCGTGGGCCCATCTAAGTTGTGGGTCTGGGGTGGGTCTGGGGTCTGCCCAGCTGAGGACTTTGTAGATGCCGTGGGGGTTTGGCGGGTGAGGTTGCATTCAGCCCTGGCTGAGGTTGGTGTTACCCAGCTGGTGTGTTCAGTCACATCGCAGCCACCTGGAAGCATGTGCAGCATCGCCCCTGAACCCTCTTCTCACCGCAGCGTCTCCCATTTTCTCCTCTTCCCCCGCAGGAGTCCAGCACAGGAAGGAGCAGGACGTGGAGGTGCAGAAGAAGGCAAAGGAGTGCGGGCGAAGCGTGCTCAGGGTCTCCCCGGACCAGGGATCAGACGTGTACCTCCTCAGGAAGATGGTAGAGGAAGTGTTTGATGTGCTTTATAGTAAGAACCTTCACACTTCCATTTGGGGATTTAGATTGCCCCCGGGGCTTGCCGAACTGCCTGGCGCCGCTGCCAAATGCGGTTTTTGGCCCCAGCCTGGCTCCCTGGCAAGGGAGCAGGCGCCTGGCAGGGGTGGTGTGGCGGGACATGCTCCTGCATAGGCTTAGCGCTGCGTTGAGATGGGATCCAGCCACTGCTTCTTCATTTCCCAGTTCCCCAGACTGGGCAAGAAAAAAAAATCCCTGTGCTGAAGGGAGCATCCTCTGTCTCCCTGGCCAGAGGAAGCTTCTGCCGTGCCCTGAGCACACCTCCCAAAAAAAAAACCTTTCACAAGTGCTGCGTCAGGGCTCTGCAGAGACTCCTTCGCCCTGTTCCCTGGCAAGTCTATTTAAAAGGAAAAAATATTATTTTTCTAGCAGACGGCCCTGCAGCCCCGGCTCCGAGAGATGAGTTGGTGCCATTCCAGCACATGCATCATCCCTGGCAATAAAGCTTCTGCAGTTAAAATGTAGATGACCATATGGCTGTTGATATGTAACCCAGTGGGTTGCAGAGCTCCCTCTGGGCCCAATCTGTGGAGGCTCGAGCAGCAGCAGCGCCTGCTTTGCGCTCAGGAGGTGTCCCTGCTGGAGCACCCCCATTGCAGCTGGAGGTGGTGCCATGCTCCTGGCTCATCCCCTGGCAGCACCTCTGGGGTCATGCTGGTCTGGGTAGAGAAAGTGAGGTTTGGTTGGGAAAAATGGAGCGGTGAGCTCCAATATTCCCCCGTGCTGCCCAGTGGATTGCATTAGCCCAGCATGAACTTTCAGGGGAGTTCAGGCAGAACCAGGTGTTTCACTTTGCTGGGTGCAGCTCCCCATCACCATCTGGGATTTGAGATGTGCTGCTGGGACTGTGCTGGTCTCTCTGAGCAGAAAGCGCAGGCATTGTGTGCTGGGTTTGGGAATGAGTGCTCCCACACGATGAGAGGAGGATAATGGGTACTCCCACCAACCACCCTGGGCCCACGTGCAGGATTTGGTGTTGGGTGCTCACCCCGCCAGTGCCTGCTGTGGGCTTCACAGACAGAAAGGGGAGATGGCAGCCCTTCCGCCAGAGACAGACAGTTACTGAGGTTCTCTGAAACCACTTAAAGGACTTGGAGGCGATGTTGCCATTAATGGAGGTAATCAAGTCCTCGCTGCCTCCAGAAGGCTGGGCCCAAGTGAGAAGGGATGATGCAGAAGAGCCATAAATATATATGATATAATTGCATTAAAAAGCTTGATCAGGGTTCCTCTGCATGTACAAACCAGGTGGCCCATCCGTCGGGGTGAGTTTATGATATTCTTTACCTTGTCGAGGTGCAGGGACAAGCTGGTCGGGTCCCCAGCCCAGGGTGGCCAGCATTGCTGTGGCAGAAGGAGGTTGGACATCTTTGGGCTGGTGGTTTTGGCCCTGGCATTTGGGTGTAATTCTGACACTGGGGGTAATTCTGACTTTGCTGCTGGTTCAGTAGGATCAGCTGTGTCCATCCTATGGCAAAACCCTCTCCAAATGCCCACCGGGAAGTTGAGTGAGGAGAAGTGCAGCAGGAGAGAGTGGGTACCCCACGGTGATTCTGTTCCCAACACCGAGAGGACTGTCAGAATTTAACAGTTATCTTTCTTATGGGTTTTGGGGTTTTTTTAATCCTTTCAGTCGCTTCTCACCAACAGGGATGTGAAACAAAAAATTGTAGAAAACGCTCAGTCAAAAAGATTGCGTATTCCCTCCAGAGCCAGATAATCTCTGCACCAATGGGATGACTGATTACTGCCGGCTTCTATTAAATAGGCATTAATGATGATTATTGTCTCTCCTTAGCTAAACCGTGAGTGTCTGCATGGCAGCGCGAGGCTTGGTGAAGGTCACTTTGACAGTAATGTGTTCCCCATAAAAATACGTTCGGGGAGTTGTTAAGTGTTGGGTTGATAAGGAGCTGCCGTGGGCATCTGGAGCTTCTCCCCATCAGAGAGGTGATGGAGGGAGGTGGAAAGCCGCTAGTGCTGGTGCACTGGGGCAGGGAAACCATCAGCTTACAGCAAGTGTACTCACGGTGCTGTGGTGCAAAGGTTCGTTTTGAAACTTCTGTTATTGGCTTAATTAAAATGTTATCCATCCTGCCTATAAGGAACCTTGATGGCTCCTGCAAGCTGCATGTCGTTCGGTATCATGCATTCCTTCAAAGAACATGTTGAAGAAATCACTTTTAATAAGGACTTACTGACAGCACCACAAGATTTCCAGGGTTTCTGTAAGATCTTTCGATGTTTGGAGTTTTTTAAAAGAGAGAAAAAAGGAAATATTTTAAAGAAAATCAACAGTATAAAATCCCATAGCTATTTAAAGGTCCCATAATCTCTGCCTGCCCCACGGAGATGAAGGCACAGACACCTTGCCACGCAGCCAGATGTTCTGCATCTGGACGCTGCTTTGCCAGACAGGTCGCATTCCTAATGTCTGTTTCTTCTGCTTCGTGATTTCAGCACCAGGTTTGTTGGTCTCAGTGCCTTGGGTTGGTTTCCAAAGTAATTTTTCCACAGAGAGCAGCTCAAGGGTTTTGGCCATTCCTTGAAATTCTTCTGAGGGGGCTGGTTTTCCGATGGTGTCTTGCCTGGTGCATCCCCGATTTGGGAATGTAGGCTTTGTAGCCGGTTTAGAAAATCTCTGCATAGCTGTGATGCTCAGTGGTGGTGTTCTGCTACCTGGGAGGGGAAAACAGTTTGCTCCTGACAACGTGGGGAGATTTTGGTGTCAGAGGTACAGCAGAGCCAGCCCCACACGGTGTGGACATGGGGAGACTCTGTGGCCATGGTCAAGTGTAGCGGGGGAGATTTCTGGTCTTCCAGAGGCAATCATGCAGCCAAACGTACTGATGTTGGTGCTGCCTGAGAACGGTGGGATGGAGAGCAGCTGTTTGGGTTATTTTTCTTGTCTCTCAAAGCGCATCAAGGCTGCCTGACAGCAACAGCAAGCAAAGTTCTTCCAGTTCTTCCAGGAGGCAAAATAAGAAAGCCAACTGAAAATAAGGTTCCCAGAATATCTCAGTAAACATGAGATCCAATTCGGCGCGAGCCCTTCAGCCTCCTTTGTCACCTCCCAGCTCCCTCCCACCTTGCCGGCAGCATCCCTCGCTGGCGTGGGGCCAGGCGCTGCGGGGGGGGGGGGGGGTG